CAGGGGTGGGCCGTGTGCACACCTTTAGACACGCACGCTATCTGGATTACTCAGGAACGCTGACGTCAAGTGACATTCAAAAAGAATTGAGGGAGGGGTAGATTTCAGGTGATAAGTCCGAAAACAATTGCACTCTGCCAACAACCATCCAAACAATTCTATTTTTATTTTGATTAATTAGATGTACAACCATTAACATCTGACAGACATCATAGGTAGAACTTACTGTTTCTGCTTATTTGCTTTTTATTTGCGGACTAGTCAAGTAAGATAGTCTCATTTGTAGGAATCTGGACTTACCTGTTGGACCCAATTGTGTATACTCTGACATTGCCACCGATTAATTATTTTATTTATTTTAAATCGGTCTGAGTGTTACGCTGCGGTAGGCAACCGAGTGAGTCCTAGTGCATACATTGCATAGTTTTGTAACTTATGAGCGATAGGGAGGACCCTGACCCGGATGATCGGATCTTGCGTTCGACAAAACGCCCATTGGTCCACTTAGCTTTAGGACCAGAGGGTGACCGGTTTCTATTCCGCCAGCTTAGGGAGAGGCAGAAACAACAGCGGAGGGCTAGGAACGTAGAGACAAGCACAGCCTTTGCAAGCGAGACAGCTATTTCCGCAACCATGACCACCGCTGCGCAGCGAAGTTCCTAGGCCAGTAGTTCAAGAACTGTCGGGGCGACGGTCGCACAGACCCTGAGTCAGTCCGCTGGCGTTATGGCAAGCCAACAGTTAGTGTTAACTCCTGAGGAGGTCGCCATACAGCGAGCAAGCTCTCATGAGGCACAGCTACAAAAGGCATTAGATGAGATACATGCAAAGAAAGAGAGAATGATCAGACAAAGGTCTAGGATGCAGCGGAGACAAGCGGACATTAGAGAGTTATAGGAGATGGACCTGACCAATATGGATGACGATGTAAGGACCGTGAGGACAACCTTGCTAGATGTAGTGGAGATGCAGGACTACCACACGTCGCTCTTGCAGGATGTTCAACAGAACATGGTCGTGCTGGTCGGGCGAGTTCAGACCACACCATCAACGTCTGGGCCAGGTGCCTGGTCCGTGGTACAACCTCCTCCCTTTGTCCCCCCGGTAACTAGAGTAGCTCCATTTGCAGTCTCTCCAGCTTCGGTGCAGGCCGCTTCCCATTTGGGTATGCCTTTGACAGGCGGGTTAGCAGCAGGTCCTAGTGTACAGATTCTTGTACAGACAGTGTTCTCCCAACCTCCGTTGCAGACTACCGTAACAGGGCAGCCTGCCGTCTCGCAGCCAGCATAGTCGGAGGATACATAGCCCCAACAGCAGCTAGTGCAGCAGCCTGCACCCCAGGGTCCATAGCCTGGAGTAGCGCAGGCACCGGGACAAGGACAATGGGTTCCCAAGACTGTCATTGCATCGCGTAAACCCTTCTCAAGAGATAAGAGGGGTGAGGACCTCGACTCATGGTTGAGGTCCGTGCCAGTGAAGTGCAAGTTAACCTTGCCTCACGAGGAAGTGTCTGTGGCTGCCTCCTATCTGGAGGGGAGTGCAGCAACGTGGTTAAGTGGGTACGCGCAGTTACAGGGATATAGTCATGACTTCCGCGCTTGGGCAGTCACCCAAAAACTGGATGATTTCCTTAAGCTGGTGGAAGAAAGGTGGCATGATCCGCATGAGGCTCAAAAGGCCACCGATGCGATCCTGACCTTGAGCTCAAGAAAGTTCAGGTCAGTAAGGGGATGCCACAAATGTCGTTGACCGTCTGATCTGTATACCTGGAGTGCGTTATGATCCCCATGTCTTACTTACCACTTACCTGAGATGTCTCCCCATAGACCTCAGGAATCAGTCGGCACGTGAGGTCATGATCGAAGTTCACAACTTTCCTTCGTTTAGCAAGAAGGCTCTAGATCTAGAGGCAAAGATCGGTCATGGGCACCAACCCACTACAGACGGTAGGAAGAAGACACTGTCTCCTAACTAGAAGGCTAAGGGGTGCATTATGTTCGTCGATAACGATGGTCCTACCATAGAGTTAGACGATGACTTCCAAAAGGGAGTACGGTCAGAGTCGGGCAGCGCAGAAGCTTCAGGGGTTGGAGCCGTCGCTGCCATTGTGCAGAAAGGTAAGGCGACCGGTAGACGCCACGGAGGCTCCTGGTCTAGGAGTCAAGTGGACCCCAATGCTCCTCCATGGGAGAAGGCGGGCCTTACAGAGGACGTGTGGAGAGACCGTTACTCCCGCTCAACTTGTATTCGTTGCGGCCAATATGGCCATAACCAATTCAAGTGCCAGAACAAGAAGGTGACGGAAAAGATCCCGCCTACGATGGGGCAAGCACCGGTCTCCTCCGCTTCCCAGGGTAGCAAAGTAGCCAACAGTTCTGGCACTGCTTCGGGAAACACGTCGGGCCAGTAGGAATTGTAGTTGTTCCTGCTAGGGTCGAGGTGGTGGACACACCATCACCATCTCGAGAGATGGCCCAAGCTATTGACTCCGTTGCTGTCCCGCAAACACATTCGGACCAATCGATCCTCTGTTCGATGAATGTGTTCGAGTCCTTAGAGGAGCTAGAGGAGGAGTGGTCTAGATCGGACCCGCTAGATTTTTGGACAGCCATGGTTAAAGCTCCTAAGGGTGAGTTATTCGTCGGCGAGGTAGATATAGACAGTCGTAAGGCCGGGGCCTTTTATGATACCTGTTCGGCAAGGAACTTTATCAGTCGCGCGTGCGTTGAACGGCTGCGGTTACAGGGGCAAGTGCAACGCCTCAGTCGACCCGTGGAGTCGATGTGTGCCAACAAACAGTGCATGAAAAGATGTTGAGTGTCGTTTCCCGTACGCGGGAGGGGAACTGAGACATCGAGTCTCGTCCCTAGTAAGAAATGATCTCCCAATGAATATCTTGTTGGATATGTACTATCTTTCGGTTACACAACCTCAGTTTGATTGGGACCGAAAACTGGTCAAACACACTTTGCCCGGAGGGGGGGGCGCCAGATTACGTAAGTATAAAGCTAGTAGTCTGATTGAGTCCTACGGATGCATGTGCGCGGCCACGTTCTATAATTATTATAAGCAAAATCCGGAGGAGGGTATGTACTTAGTGTATATCTCTACAGAGGGCGAGCCGGTGAAAATGCCTCCAGAGATAGAGGGAGTTGTCGCTAGGTACCCTGATCCATTTGAAGAGCCAAAAGGGGTTGTTGAGAGGGAGGTCGTCCACGCGATAGAGATTATCCCAGGATCTAGTATTCCGAAGGGTAGGATATATCGGATGTCTCCAGCGGAGCTTAATGAGCTTCGCCGCCAACTCAAGGAACTCATAGAGAAGGGTTGGATCCGGCCGACTGTTTCCCCTTACGGGTCTCCTATCCTATTCGTACCAAAGAAGGGGGGAACATTGAGGATGTGCATTCACTATAGGGGCCTTAATTCTATCACTGTGAAGAACGCAGAGCGCCTACCGCGCTTCGATGACTTGTTGGACCGAGTGCAAGGGTGTCGATACTTCAGTAAGATAGATCTGAAGTCCGGGTACCATCAGATTGCAATCCGGCCCAAGGATCAACACAGAACTGTTACAGCCTTACGAGTTTGTGGTGTTGCCTTTCGGCCTTTGCAATGCTCCTGGCACCTTTCAACACGCTATGAACCGGATTTTTCATGACTACTTGGACAAGTTTGTCATCGTGTACCTCGATGACATACTTATCTTTAGCAAGACTGTCGAGGAGCATGTAGCCCATCTAAACAAAGTCCTTAATCTCCTTCGGCGGCACCAGTTTAAGATTAATCGGGAGAAGTGTGAGTTTGGCCGCACCCGGATCTTGTATCTGGGTCATGAGATTTTCGCGGAGGGATTGAAGCCCGATGACGCGAAGGTGGCCAGCATTCGTGACTGGCCGCGTCCTCAGTCTGTGACCGAGATGAGGTCCTTCTTAGGGATGACCAGCTACCACCGCAATTTTGTAAAGAACTATAGCATAGTGGTCGCACCTTTGACGGACCTTACCCGCCTTGACACCCCGTGGGAGTGGACAGACAGGTGTGAGGCTGCTTTCAGACGTCCGAAGCACTCCTTAACACACCATGAGGTCTTCAAACTTCCTGATCCTGATAAGCCATTCATAGTAACCATAGATGTCAGCCAATATGGCATAGGTGCCGTGCTTGCAGCAAGAGGGGCCAAAGTTAAGGCTGGTAGAGTACATGTCCAAAAAGATGCCCTCTCAGAAGTTGGCTAAGTCCAACTATGAGAAAAAACTCTATGCGATCTACAAAGCGCTAACCCATTGGAGGCATTATCTCCTTGGGAGGTTCTTCTACGTCACGACTGATCATCAGACCCTGAGGTGGATGAGAACCCAGTCGGTTCTCTCCAATGCATTGAAACGCTGGATTGAAGTCATAGAGCAGTATGACTCCGAACCCCAGTACATCAAAGGAGAGTACAACAAGGTTGCTGATGCGTTGTCACGTAGGCCAGACTTCCTTGGTGCGCTGGTCACTGAGTTTGGGCTTGCGGACGATGTTACTCGATCCTTGATGGAAGCCTATCGTGAGGATCCTCTTATGGCTGAGATCATACTCAGGCTCGAGGCAAAGGACAAAGTAACTTCTGAAGAGTTTGTGTTGGTCGATGGCTTGTTGTTCCTTGAGAAGGCTGGGAATAAACTTTTGTGTGTGCCAACCCGGTAGTCTTTGCGTAGTTTATATGTAGGTGAGTGTCATGACGCCACATGCTATAAGAAGACTGCAGTCAACTTGCTGCAATAGTTCTGGTGGCCCACAATGATGAGAGACGCCAAGTTGTACGTGGAGACTTGTCAGGTGTGTCAGAGGGACAAGCCACGTACACATGCCCCTCTTGGGCTTCTCAAGCCCCTTTCGATACCGGAAAGGCCCGGTGAGAGCCTGTCCATGGACTTCATGGACACGCTGGTCACCAGCAAGAGCGGTATGCGATACATCTTTGGAAATGTCAATAGGTTTGGTAAGTATGATAGGTTAGTCGCACTGTTCGAAATAGCCAGACCGAGTATGCGATTAAGCTGTTTAAGGAAAACTGGGGCAGGGATTTTGGACTGCCAAAGTCTATAGTTAGTGACCGGGATGTGCGATTTACGAGTGAATTGTGGAAAGCCGCAGCTGTAGAACAGTGGACACAGCTGCAGATGACCTTCACGAACCACCCAGAGGCAAACGGGCAAGCAGAGCAGCGGAACCGCGCTGTACAACACCTGCTGAGGCACTATATCAAGCCTAACCAGGTGGACTGGGATGAGAAACTTGCTCTCGTCGCCAGTCTGTACAATGACATTGTGCACAACGCAACAGGGGTGAGCCCTAACAGTCTGCTACTGACCTTCAAGCCTAAACGGCCCCTAGACTTTCTACTACCTGAGAACCAGCCGGCTGCTGCACCAGGCACCTTAGAATTCGCCTATCGATATGAACGCCTGATGCAGCGCGTTGTAGAACAGATGCATAGAGCACAGGCGGCAATGATAGCATCTGAGAACAAGCACTGCCGCCCATCTACATTCCAGGTAGGGGACATAGTTTGGGTCAAAGCCTTTGAACTGGGGCAGGAGCATGGGATCTCCCGCAAGCTCATGCCACAGTACTTTGGGCCATGGGAGGTTCTAGATGTTGTCGGGAATGATCCGGACAGGCCATCGTATGTAATTCGGATCCCTGGTCACCTTCGCACCTACCCTGTCTTTCACGCCTCCAAGCTCGCACCTTCCAAGGAAACTGATCAGTTTCCCTCTCGTCGCTCAATGCTGCCCCCAACCATGGATGGAGAGGTCGACATCAACGACATCGTGGATCACAGAGAAATTGCAGCAGCACTAGGGGCGCAGTGCTACCGGGAGCGCTGCGCCCCGGCAGCATCAATCATCAATCAAGGTCGCTGCCACGGAGAGGAGCCGCGCGCGCCGGATAACTGCACGCAGCAAGGAAAATAGTGCGCGCGCGCTCGACGATTGCCCGTGATTGGGCGCGCGCCCTGAGATGAAAATTGGACCACCAATGGTCTACGCTGAGGAGCTGAGGTGGTCCAAATTTCAGACCAAACGGTTCAGCGGATCATGAGATATCGAAGTTCTAGGGCGCGCCATGGAATTCGAGCATGTCGGGCGATGAGGACGACGGGGGGATGGAATGGCATCTAAGGCTTCAACCTCAAAACCTGCTGCTTCCTGACTTTTGAAAGCAGGTCTACTGCCATCTCTCTACTTCGCGCTTCAAACGAGTGATGCTACAGGATAGCATGTCGGATGAAGGAGGGTATTGCTTATTTGGGCATTACTCTAGGAGTAATCACTAGTACGCTTCATCTTGCGACTTTTGGTGGAGGAGGTCGGCTCGGTGCGAGAAGAAGAAGAATACAGTGTGTCCCGTGGAGTGGAAGGAGGATTGTCAGGAGATAGTGAGTGGGAGGGCTTCGAGGAGAGAATCCAAGTGTCGTCAAGGGATCATTACAAGGGGGGAGGCTTCTACTCGAATGATGGCAGCCGGCTGATCGTCATTCTTTCTGCTACATCTACATTGCATCTACAGGACCATATCATCATCGTATCATCAGCTTCAGCAGCAGCAGTATTGTCATCATTATCATTATCACCATGATCATTATCATCAGTAACGAGATTAGTCATCACCGTCGCCATCATCAACAACTTCATCATCACCATCATCTTCATGTTCAGCATCGAGGTAAGTAGGGGATAGGAGGACATTGTTGGATCGTTATTGTCATTGTCATAGTAATTGTCATCGATGTGTCAATCAACAAATCATCAACATCATCATGCTATCTAATCATTAATTTGATCACTAATATTACCATCCCACTATCATCCCAAAATCATCTCATTATCATGTCATCACGAACCTGACTAATTTACTCCAACTAACATCCTAATTAATGTCTCAAACATTCTTGATCTCAATTATCTTTTAAATTTTAAATTCCCCGTTAAACTAACATAAATGATATTTCTATATACTTAAAATTTCCAGTGAAAACCTCTAATCAATACACCCGATTTTTTCGGCATCGTAATTTTTAATACCTAAATTCCTATAGTCCCTAAAATTCGCATCTCTGAATCTGTATCACTATTCAACTAATTAGTGCGCAAATCTTGACTTCAAAAACTTGAAATCTTTCGTATTGCTCCAACTTATTTTTCTCCTCCCTGTAGTATTCACGATGCTTTCTGAGGGAGGGAAGTAAGGGTTCAGGGGAGAGCTCCATCCCGCAGGGGTGACACTAGGAGGGAAGTGAAGCCCTGTAGGGGGTGTGAGCAGAGTGAGGGGGTTACCTTAGTCTGGGGTTGGTGGGAGGGTTACTCACACCAGCGGGGGCAGAGTAGGGTAAATGGTGGGCAGAGGCATATTTTGGGAGGGAACTGGATGCCTTTCTGGGATGAGAAGGGGGAAGGGGGGTCTGTCACAAAATTGGGGCTGTGATGGGTGGCCTGTAGTCTGGGTCATCTGTTTCGGCGGAGGCAGCGATGAGATAGGGAGGAAAGAAGGGGAGGGGGGAGACTGACATCATCTTCTCTTATGTCTATCTGGTGATCTGAGATTCTCGGCGTCTTTTGGCATTCCTTCTTATCTCGGGATAAAAGCGTGTCGGAGGTGATTGATTCTGGACCAATATCGACAGAGTTGGTCTTGTTCTGAGCTCCTGATCAGCCGATGTCAGAACGACGCTGGCTGGTGCTGGGGTAATGCCTTGTAACCTGCATTGGCGGGAGCGTGAAGCCTTGTAGAGAGATCTGGGGATTGCTGAGGGAGGAAAGCAATTCAGTGACTAATTGGGGGGGCTGCCCGGATAACCCAATGGGGCTAGGGATAGTCTAGGTGGCAAGAACAGGTCAGCTATGGTGGGTAATGGTTAGGAGGGCATTGTCTCTGAGATGTTTTGTCTTGAGATAGGGAGGGCTAAGAGGCGTACTGACAATGCATGTTTCATCAGATTAACCACCCATCATCATCATTATCATCATCATCATCATCATCGGTAGTATCATTTGTTTCTGGGTTTCTAGACTATGATAAGTATCTGGTCTTTGTCCGTATCTGGGGTATTGGCGCTCAGGGATGGTGGAAACTGGACTGATGTCAACAGCGCTGATCTGTTATGTGCCCCTGGTTTGCCGATGCCAGAACGATGCTGACCGGAGCTGGGGTGCTGCCCTGTAATCTGCAAATCGCAGAAGCGTGAGGCCTTGTAGAGAGATCTGGGTGTTGCCGAGGGAGGAAGGCAATTCAGAGGCGAATTGGGGGGGCTGCGAGGTGGCGAGAAGAGAGCAGCTATGGGTGATGTTAGTTAGGTAGATATTGTTTCTGGGTAACTTTGTTCTGGTATAAGGAGGGCTAGGTGTTTATCTAGGTTTGGTAGGCTAGAATAGGTGATACTACATAGTTGTAATCTTGTTCTGCAGAAGAGGCAGTATCATTTTCATCATTCAGGAAAAACAAAAAAAAAAAAAACAAAAGGCAGGGGCTGTCCTCCGAAGCCGAAGCTGCAATATCGTGTTCGGTTCAGACATCTCATTGATCCAAAAGAGGCCAGATGGTTTACACGGGAGGAACTGATGCAGACCGCTCCACAGGTTGTCGCTCAGTATGAGAAGTTACTGCAGAAAGGAAAGTGCCAGATTGAGTGATTGAACTTCTCAGAGGACTGTCGAAGTATGGAGGAGGGAATGCGAGGCTCAAGGGCTCGGTAAGCCCTACTGGGCCCTGTTTCAGTCAGAACGGTGGCCCTAACTGAAGGCGGGCCTGACAAGGCAAGAGAGGCCTATTTTGCTGGGTTGAACGCAGCTGGGAAATTCAGGCAGTTGCACAGCGCCAGTTGGTTGAGTGAGCCCAGGCCCTGCCTGTCTTTTTCCAAATGAATCTGAGGCAGGCCCTGGGCCAGACACGGGGCATGGACTGAACACAGGCTGCTGGCAGTTGGACATGGGTAACCACCCCAGGGCCCAGGCCCTGTGTCTGATTCCCTGGGTCAGGGGCTCAGCCACTTGGAGCCTACCGGAAGCTTCTGGGCAGGGTCCCAGCGCAGCCAGGCAGCGCGCAGCAGGCAGGCCACTTTGATAAAAGAAAATTCCTGCCTCCGCATTGGACATTCTGGCACTTGCTACATGCTGCACAAGCGCTGCTGCGCTATTGGCAGGCAAGCGCCCACGCGCTCACGGGCGAGCAGGGCACACGCAGGCAGCCATAACCGAGCTGGCTTGCGAGATGCTGGATGGGGCGCATGGTGGTCCTTGGGTGCACATGACATCTGTGTGGGGGACCGAGGTTGTGAGTGAAGCGTGAGACATACCTGGTGCTGGAGGCGTACGGCGTTGGCCGAGATCTGCTCGTACTTCAGGAAGCTGTTGACGTCACCAGCGGCATTGTAGATATGCTAGATAGGATCTGCCATTCGTAGTCTGGGCGCTGAGCGCCAGATAGGAATTCGACATGGTTCATTGTTGATGATGGTGAGACTATTCCAGCATTTTCACTTGTGAGCTTTTGCTGTGCTCTTATTTGGCGGAACTCGAGTTGCAATTCTGCTTTTGCTTCGGGGTCAAGACTATCTGGTTTCATGTGTATGATGCTGCCTGGTTTCTGGAATTTGGTATTGCTCATTTTCCTTGCGTTCTTCTTCTTCTTTTTTTTTTTTTTTTATGGGGGGGGGTGGAGAAATTGGAGAATGCTCCAATCTATTCGTGGGGAGCAACACGAGCTCGGATCCAATCTATTCGTGGGGAGCAACACGAGCTCGGAACCGGGCCCAGTGTCCCTTGAGAAACATTACCGAACAACTTAGAGATACCGGGGCCATTACCCGGCTTTCCGCTAAAGATAACAGGAATATTCATGAACAATTACTGGAAATCTGAAAATCTGTGAGCAACCAAAAAGTTCTTACTTCAGAGAATAGACAGAATGGCGGAGCTCCCCATCCATCTTGCACTCCCTCTACGGGAAAAGGGGAAGGGAGAGGAAGCCAACCTTTTCTACAGTGGAGGGCGACTAACCACTTGCCACTATCCGCCTCCGCCAAGGGTCAATACGCTCCATCAACCCTGGCCCCAGAATAGCGCAACCCTCAACTCTGCCCTTACCCCCCAAGACACAGCACTTCCCTCCAAGATGCTGCCCCCACAGGATTTCTTCTTCATTATGAAGTACACTTTGCTTCGAAATGAAGGGCACTTTTGTGTGCACTATTTCTGCCCTACCTGCAGGAACTCCAGATCTGCAAGCAGAACTAAGTCCGAGATCTGATTGAATGGCACGTAAAGCTCGCGCAATAATGGGAAACCCGATAAACCATCCAACTCCTACAATCACAGCCAAGTCAATATCATTCAGCATTTCAGTCTCGGACAACAACAACAACAACAACAACAGAGACAGAAAGCATTCAACATGTGGGCTCTGGACCCAAAAGACAAGGTAAAAAAAAAAGGGATGTCAAGTTGTCAATAAACCATGCCCCACGGTGAACCATGGGTTGGGTGGTACTATGTGCACCAGGTTTTCCTGTGTGAGCTGGGTGGTTGTTGCATACTCGTGACACAGTCATAAGTATGGCGCAGATTCCCAGAACCGACCAGATAATACAGAGTTATACAGATGCAAGCGGAAGACTTGAGATACCTTGGACGGACTCAGACCTGACTCGGACTGCAATCGAACACTCTCAACATGCATCAGGGTGTGAATGCCCTGGCCTCGAGTTATAGACGAAGGGCCAGGGGCTGAGATCATACACGGACGAAAAGGAGAGAGGGGAGAGACGAAGGAGGAGGAGAGGGAAGATGACGTCAACTCAATGTTTCCAAAGATAGTATCTTGAACTGTCAGAAATGACGGAAA